GTCAGTGTGAGATATGAAAATAATAGCAATTTATCATCTATCAAGGGGCCACGGGGTGGGGGTGGGGGTGAAAGATGGACAAAGGAGGAGCTGATCCCAAGGTCTCAACAGAAAGTAAATGTCTATAAAAGAACGATGGGATATATGTACAAATGTGTGTGATACAATTGATGTATGGATTGTAACAAGAGTTGTAAGAGCCCCCAATAAAATGATCTTTAAAACAAATGAAGAACAGGGAGGGAGGAGGGGAAAAAATGAGGAGGGCTCAAGTGGAAAGCAAATGTTTTGAGAAAGATGATGGCAACACATGTACAAATGTGCTTGACACCATGGAGTATGTATGGATTGTGATAAGAGTTGTACGAGACCCCAATAAAATGATTTAAAAAATAAAAACCTCCTTGAAAATTTTTTTAAATGAAGAAAATTAAAAAAAAATTTTTACTTAGATCAGACATATTAAAAGGTGTTTTATAAACCAATTCTTTAGGTAATTATTTGGGGACTACATAGAAATTCTTGCAACTAGTTAGTGTGTGCTTTTCTATATGAGTAACCTGAAGCATGAATTATAAAACAACTCAGAAACCCACAGATTCATACTGTATCAAACTGGTTTCTTTGAAAGTAAACCAGTTGCGAGGTAGATAATCCTGGCTCACAGCAGTCTCATGTGAGTCAGAGTTGTGTTCCATGGGGTTTTCAGTGGTCGATTTCTTTATTTCATATTTGGAAATAGATCCCCAGCCGTTTCTTCTGGGGTGCGGCTGGATGGATTCAAACTTCTAATCTTTTCAATAGCAGCCAAGCTCATGAACTGTTTACACCAGCGGCGGCTCTTCTCAATTCCACTGCTAGTAAAGCTGATAAATAGACGGGGACTCAGAGGACACGTGCTGTCATGTACTCCATAAAGAGCATCAGCCTTTCAATGTCGGTGGGCAGAAGTTTAACTGAAACATACGAGATGACATCAGAAAGACACTTCATGAGTGTTCCCTTCCATACACTTCGGCGCGTCCTCTCACCGGAAGGCCATCTTCAGGACAAAGTGTCCGATTCTTCGGAGAATTAACTTGCTATTTTCCCTTTGCATGTCAAGCAATAAGCAGATATGTTACTACGCGTTGACCATTTTTTGTCTCGGTCTCCTGGCATCTAAAGCAAACTATAAATTTTACCCTTTGTTTCCATTAAAATAATTGCATCAATTGTATCAAGTATATTTGTACATGTGTTGTCATCATTATTTCCAAAATATAAGAGCTGTAAGAGCCCCCAATAAAATTATTTTTTTAAAGATATAAGTAAAATAATTAAGTGAAGCTTTCAGTTTGCAAAACCAATAAACAAATCCACCACCACCAAGTGAAAACTGACTTATATCAACCCTGGATTTTTTGAAGGCGGAGCAGACTGCCTCATCGGTTTCCCTTGAGGGAATGGGGGCTACAGCATTGAAACTACAGCCCTCGCAGGAGGAGACCAAAACCTACCCCACAGTGCTACCAGGGAGCCCAAAAGGAGATTAAGATAAAAGTGGCTCTTTAAAACTAACCTTATGGGGACGTAATATTATAGAAGGAGAAACTGAATGGAGTTGAGCAAGGCTTTTATGATTTCTCCATTTTCTATCCGGCTCTCAATTCCACAACAGCTAAAGTTTTTTTTTCTGCGCACCAATACATCCATCTGGCTCCCTTTGTGTAATCTTCAGTCTCTGGGGCTCAGTTCAGGTGAGGATTAATGGTTAACAGCGGCTATTGGAGCAGCATCGCTGAGTGGAACTTTGGCTAGTAGGTGTACTGAATATGAATCTGTCCCACTGCTAAGGCACACAGGCACATTCAAGTTCTCTGTCTCTGTTGTTACCACTTTTATTAATGCACAGTAAAATGAAAGGAAAAATGGATTTAATTTATTGGAATAAAGGGAAGCAACTCTTCTTAAGTACATTTTTGATATGCTATAATATTAAGGACTTTCACACCCAGGCGGTAAAGAGAAACATACTGTTACATCACAGTGGGAGCCACTAAAAGTAAATATTTAAATGACGAGAATAATTCTTGCCCAACTTATTGAGAAGAAGATGAAGGCCATTTTAGGAGAAGAAATTCACCCTCACTAAGAATTAGTACTGCCAAAGAAGCCAACACAGGGTTTTCAGGTATCATTTAAAATTATTAAGATTTCTCTCTACCAATTATTATTTAGAGTTCATTTTTTGTCATGATACTTGCTGTTGTCTGTTTTTAATTTCATTTGCTAGCATTAACGAATATAATAGAAGGGTATTTTAAAAATCTGTCAGATGTAATATTTTAGAGGGGGGTGGTTTCTTTGAGACATGACAGATTAAAGAGGAGATGCAAGATGAAAGAAAAGTGTTTAGATAATAACCAGTGCTTTACAAATTAAAAAAATACTCACAAACAATATTAAATATGAGATGGGACCTACTGAATGACTGATCAGTCAGTTTTTCCATAACGTGAGTAGTAAATCAACTCTGAGTGGAAATAAATGCATTTAGGAGTGACTAAGACAAAAACAATTATTTGCAGTTTTGTTTGGTTTTTCAACTTCAGAGCTAGAAAATCATTCAGAGTTTTTTGGTAAATACAGAGACTTCGAAGATGGAAAGAAAGAAAATACACAGGGAGAGTAGACAAGGGTGGAAATCGGGTGGGGAAGAGGCCAGACGATGACACGGGGACGTTTGTGATTAATAGTGAGCTCCTGGCAGGAGCGATGAAGGGAGAAAAGAGAGAACCCTTCATGACTCCCCTCTTCCAGCGTAGGGCCTGCCGGGTCTAGCTTCTCCAGAACTGTGTCCGGATTATACACTACACACCAGACTGAGGCGTGTTCTAGGATTTCAGAAAGTTATGACAGACACTCTGATAGCAACATATGCTATGACCCTGGGTCTTATTAATGGTATCCCTACTTCATTATTTCTTATCATTCTTGATGCCAAACATTAATAATAAATTCACAATAATTAATTCACATTATATTCTAAAACTGTGCTGCATTTTTCCTTTATTAGGATGTCTTTACTACGTCAATTGATGCATTTCATTTTATTTGCTTCTGTGTCTGGCGGTAAGTCAAGCTTTATTGTAAGTATAACTGAAAAGAGCTTTGTACCCTAACCTATAGATTAGAAAACAAATCCCAGTGTGATTACCATAAGTGTGAGAGAATTCCACTTCATCTCATCCACAGAAAATAAATAAAACAGTTCATGATTTCCTGATTAAGGCTTCAAGCATTTTCAAACAGAAAAGAAACCGAGTGAAGGAATTATTCAGAGAGGAAGCTATATCTAGATCTACCTCTATATCGTATTTAAATGGTACTTAAGGATAATATTGAAATAAAGCGTATCTGATTCCCTTCACGGTTGCATTTTCCATAAAGCAGGTCAGCTCAAGGAATGTTTGTTTTTGTTGTTAGCGGCTGCTGAGTTGATCTCAGCTTGGGGCTGTCCCTCACCTGTCAGAACGGAATGACGCTCCCTGGGGTTTTCTTTTTTCTTTTTTTTTCTTTTAAACATTTTATTAGGGGCTCATACAACTGTTATCACAATCCATACACACATCAATTGTACATTTGTACATCATTCTCAAAACATTTTCTCTCCACTTAAACCCCCGACATTAGGTCCT